GTCTTATGTTTAGTCCCACGCGTGATAAAATGCTACTAGTACTGCTAGATAATTCTTAAACAGTTACTACGGCTAAAACGTCTTTTATACACTTAATAATCTTCTTTAGACAAAAGGAAACACAAAGCTATTGACAACGTTTATTAAACGGTTAATAAACTCGTCGAATTAATATTTTGATTACCGTACTTCTCTTACGAGAGCTAATCAATTTTAGAACTGAACCGATGCTCGTTTAAATATTGTTGACTTCACCTCAACTTCTCTCTTTTGAGTTTTAAAATGTCTATTTTATGCAGCAGTTTGGTTTATTTGAATAAAGCTTAACTGGTTACTTTTGCGTTTCATTAGTTTGACATATTTTTTTTCTATTTTATTTAGCATCACTTATTAAAATAGTATTTAATCGGCTTTTCTTTGCAACGAACCTAACCATTTTAACTGAAATAAATTTATTATTTTAACATTAATAATAATCCCTTATTTTATTAATATATGTTTGTAATTTATGATGTTGGAGAAAACAACAGATAACTGTGTTAAACATATCACAGGGAGTATGATTTATCTATGATATCACGTTCATACATTTCCAGATAGAGTAGTATTTAAAGTGATACTTTTATCAACATTTTTTATTTGGATAGACTAGTCTACAATGCACTTCACGCACAATCCAATTCATTATTGACAATTTGTTTAAATAAAGGCCTGGAGCGGAGGGTAACATTTCAACCACCCAGTTCTGATTAAGTGCCTATGGTTTCCGCAAATTGATGTTATGTTGAAACAATCAATCAATAATTCAGTTAAGTTGGTATATAGACAATCTGCTAACAAAATAAATGCATCGCACACTTGTAAAATAAGACGGTGAGCCGTTAAAATTCATTCTTGAAACATGCATAGGCAAAATAAAGCGAAAAATTTGAGGTTTTGGCGAGCTTTGCAAGGTTTTAATTTACATTTTATAGTATACCCTCGCCGAGCTCAAGGCGTTTTACTGCCTTTTACTGCTTCGCTCACTCCGCTCGAAAATGTAAACGAAGTATTAAGAAGGAAAGGTCGTTAATGAATGACATCCGCAGCGTGACGCTTATCAGACGTGCGATCTTACTTTCGTGATGAACCAACTGTCAAAATGTCTTGCGTGACTCTCTATAGTAGCGTCTTGGCTATTTTTAACTCTCCGCATTAATTTCAAAGTGTTGACACGGATACATAAAAAGTTATTGTATTTAGCTGGATGTGAAACAGGTGGCAGTGTTAGTTTATTGCCACAAATCTTTTGTTTTATTAAGAACGAATCATGATATTTTCAAATTAATTGTAATTTCCTAATACTTTTTGAATGGACTACGAATAATGAAGTGATGTAATAAATAAGTACATGACCAAAGTCTGGGAGCAGACGCAGTACTCGCGTACAAGTGGGGTGTGTTTACTTGTATATTGTATTAACTGCATCAGGTAGACTCTTGTTAAAGGGTTGCATTTTCTGACCTACTTCAAACAGTTAATAGTGTGTAGGCCTAAACACTACTGTGGTAGTTTATGCAAGTTACGTTACCACGGGATTTATCCCTTGTAGAACGTTTTGTTTTAATAACAGCAAACTAAAAAAAAATGTCTTTATATGAAATTATTCTCCGTAGTAATTATGCTGAAATGACACCCGTGCCTTCGTAAGAGTCAGCCTAGCCTGTTTGATCACTGAGATCGGCGTCGACATCACTCCTGACATAGTCGGAGCTCTGCTCCAGGGAAAGGGAGCCTGTAACTGTATCAATCAGTCACTGAAGGCCATACTTCGGGCGAAGAAGGTCGATCTCGATCGGCCTTAGCCTTCGGAAGAAAATAAAAAGGAAATCCTGAGTGGCATAGTTGAAGAGACCTATCCGAAGTAATGTGCTTAACAGTTCCAGGCTCGTGTCCTAGGAGATGAGGGGTTTTTAGCCGGTAGTCCGGGGACATTGAGCCCGCGGGAGTACGACACTACTGAGATGACATTGAGTATCTCAGTGTGCGTAAACACATTTTATCCTCCTACCCACAAATAAATATTGAACAAACGTATAATCAAAAAGTCCAGTTCTTTGGGAATTAATACAATATAATTACCATAGTAGCCTAATATGAATTGTGTTAGGTATAAATGGGAAATTTTTATCTAAGTGGGTATACTTGATTAAATTGTTTCTGCTATTAAAATTACTTCAAATTATACTCTTTTTTTGCGAAAGTTTCATTCAATTCACAAAAGATTACTTTGCTCAAAACCACAATAAATGTAACGGTATACAACGAACTATGTTTGACGTTGCAAAACTAGATCTGTATCAGTATCCAATAAGACGACGGAACAAGATGTAGATCCGGCAAATAAGTGACATTAAATGAAGAAGCGAGGCTCAACAATTGTATCAACTCTCTGTGCCGCATCTCTCTCCCACGTTATATATATATATATTTACATTGATTCGAGATGTGATCTTTCAATATCGTTGTAACTCCTCGTGATACAAAAGTGATAAATAATAATACAACATTGATCACAATACCAACACCATAGCAAACCTGCCGAATCCACGAATTTCTAGCCATGTGCCTGTTTGTATTGTCACTCAAATACTGTATATCGTTACATATTTCAGATTTATTCTTTAACATTAAATAACATTATACTAACTGGTCAAACCTGTTGCTTGAAATCGAGCAATTTTCATGTGCGGGTATTACACTAATTGTTCCTAATACGTTATTTTTTTATGTTGTTGCGAATATAAAGTTTTGTTGCATCGGCTATTCTAATTCGTTCATGATTTAGTCCATTGTTAACTGAGGTGTTTTAAAATCATAGCAACATTTTAGCGAGTTTCTCTATAGGGAAGAGGCTATTACCGTAGGTGGCATTAGGCCCAGGACCGATTTACGTTTTCCATGTTGATGTCTCCAGAGGCCAAAAACACCATTCGTTTAAATTTTTATATGTATATAGGCAAAATTATCTGATTTTGATTAAATTTGTTTTAAAGGTTTAAGGTGGGATAAACTTGAATGAGTTCGTGAACCAGCATGATCGGACCATAGGAACGGGGTTTGATGGGGTAAAAAAATGGGTTTTCTCATTTTTGATCCTCAAACCATAAAATATCCCAATTTCTCTTTAGACCTATTTAAAGAGCTTAAAAATAATAATTTAGTATATCAAAGGGTTTTTGTACGGTTATTGGTAATGGAGAAAATTTTAAAAAATGTCAATTTAAAATTCCCATGTTATTCTTATGGAGAGTATTGTCAAATGTTGTAGTTTGCTTGTTTATGGATATGTTTTGATCAAGCTTGGTAGATTTATTTATTTTGTACTAAGCTATCAATGTTTTACTAAAAAACACTCTTTATTAGTTTTTCTTGTAGCAGCAAACCTAGGTACAGTACTCCTTAAACCTAATTTTATTTAAATAGATTTGATTCAGAATCAATTCAGACCAATGGAAATTCGCTTAGTCGCCAGGTATGCTGCAGCGGGGGTATTTTAAAATTTATCTTTACAACCTCAATATTTTCCCATAAACTATTAAGACTGTTTGATCTAAATATGTATTTAGGTCAACAATATGTATTTAGGGATTTAGGTATTTAAGTATAACAATCCTTACTAGCTACGGCAATTCTTAAAGTAAACAAATTTCTTGCTATAGCAACATACCTCTTTGAATGGGTTTTGTATAAAGACAGATTACAAACTAGTCTAATTTTTGTGAAGGGAACTGTTACAAAAATATGAAAAACGACAATGATTAAATTATTCGACTCGCATGTAAAACATTATCTCGTCCCAAAATGGGGCTTCCGTGACGAGTATTGAACGATACTTATTATCACGATAAAAAAAAAAATTCTTCATCAAACTTAAACAAAGTATCTGATATTTCGTAATCTATTCATTTTTCGAATCTAAACAAAATACGGCTGTAAAATTAATTTTAGTGTAAAATTCAGCTCATTAAACTTCAGTTGTAACTTTATTGATGTCAGGCAAAGTATTTTTTGTGTAGCAAAAGTAATTTATATGTCAGGAAAAGTCAGCTGATCACTATTTGTTTTTTGAGTATGGAAATTGACGATTTCCGAAGACCTCAGCTGTATGGAAATGGGCTGTTTTCGAATTCAGAGTGATGAAAATAATGTTAATGACGCCGTTTGTTAAGTAAATTATTAATACCCCCGCCGCAGCAAACCTGCAGACTAAGCGAATTTCCATTTTACTGATTGGATTTACACTGAAATGTCTACTTAAAAATATAACATTTATTCTTGATTTAATTAAATAGAATTAGTTTAACAAGTACTTAGGTTTGCTGCATCAGGGAGGGTAAAACAGTTTTTTTTTTGTAAAATGTGAATAGTTAGTAAGAAATAAAAATATTTTCCAAATTTGATCAAAATATGTTCACAAACAAGCAAACTACAAGAGTTTACTTATTCTCCATAAGAATAACATGGGAATTTTAAATTTAAAATTTTTTGGAATTTTCTCCGTAACCATTAGGCGCATAATAACGCTTCAATATACTAAATTATTTGTTTTTTTAAGCTCTACAAAATGGTTTGGAAAAGAATTGCTAAATTTTATGTTTTTTGGGTCAAAAATGGGAAAAACCTATTTTTACCCCATAAAACCCCCCGTAAACCCCCGTTCCCATGGTCCGATCATGCTGGATCGCGAACTCGTTCGAATAAACGTACGTTTACACGTTTGTACCAAATTTCATCAAAATCGGATCATTTTTGCTCGAGTTATCGTGCTGACGGACATATATATATATATATATATATATATATGAATTTGAACGGATGGTGTTTTTGGCCTCTAGGGACCTCAAAACGAAAAAAAAAATTGGTCCCGCGTCCAGGTCTTATCATGAGTACTACGGTAATAGCTTATTCCCTATATGGGAAATTCGCTAAAATTAAGGTGGTGTGTAGTTAATTGTTACCTCTTTACTTTCGTCGACAGCAGACACCCTGTTGATGAACAACGAAATGGCCACTGTCATATTCTTCTCTGGAACAAAAAATATTTTTTTTAGTTATTTAGGCCTACTATTTACTAAACGATGCTATATTGGAATTGCAACTTGTTGTATCTGCTTATGTGTTAATCATGCGTTTTATTATTGTGAAATATGGACGCATTTAATGTAAAATATATTGTATTTATAATTAAACTAATAAATAAATTATCATGAACTATGATAGTGGTTTATAATAGATCATAGAGTAGATAATAAAACTAGATCATCACAATTTAATAGCACGCCGGTATCCTAACTTTACGTATATCATATATACTGAAACAAAAAAGTTAATAGACCGGAGGTGTACCTATTTTTTCACAAAAATATATTTAGACTTTTTTTTGTTGAAACACTTGCATTACTTCTGTAACTTTTTTGCAGGTTTCAGTCAAGCGGCGTTGCATTAACCCTAGCGGAGATTTCAACGGAGAAGTAATTTAAAGTTTTTCACTCTAAGTTAAATTCAACAGGGACAAAAATTCTGTGTCAAGATGGCACAAAAGTTGAAGCGTTAAAAATATTTATGTAGTGAAGACACTCGCTTTATCTGATAGGGGAATCCATTACCAAAATATACTTTCGAAAATGGTCTTCGAAAACGGTTTTCAAAATATGTAGATTTAAAAAAAGGTTGATCTATGTTCACGAAAATATTAATTGACAGCTTATAAATAAAATACTGTAATATAAACAAACAACATGAAATATCAGGAACCGTTGCAGATAGAAAACACCATCAATCATAATCAAAGCTCAAATAAAGTACCGTCGAGACAAACGCTGAGCGCAAGATTTGCAGCATTGTGCCGCGGTCGTGGAAGAATGCGTGAGCATTTCTCGGTGAGTGGCCTTGCGATCATTGATTATGGTAATGTGGCCCTTACACAGGCCCGACAACTCCCCCTTAAACACTATAACGACCGTCAATATGTTGAGCAACACGTGTGTATACAATAAATCTCAGCGCAACTGGGGTTTTTATTACAACGTATAAGCTATACAGTACTTAGAAAGACCCATTACAAACAACATAGCAAAATGGGAAAAGGAAGCTCAGAAGTAAATATTTTACAACATGGCCTTTTACTGTGCACATTATACAAAGTGGGGTTTTTTTACTCAATCCAAAATGCAAGTATCGAAGACACGTTTTAATAACAAAACAAGCCCATTTTATGTTGTCATCCCTGTATCCTTTATTTCATTACCAATCAGCTAATATGCGTTGTTGCATTATTTATTTATGAGTTTTAGGGTGATTGGAAATGTTATGTGAATAATACTCAACATAGGGTTTTCGTAAGCTCAAAGATAATGTATTGGGCACTAAATAAGTTTATGCCATGATAGGTTTGAAATTAAGTCTCTATGTGCAGTTCCAGTACCTATAAAATGAACCATTAATGGAATTGTAAAAAAAATTAAGGATACCAGATCCTAATAAAACCAACAAATGTAGACCTACAATACATATTTCATTTGCGAAAACACCACGTTTATTGTTATTATTTACAATAAATTCTCAATAACACTAAACCTAACATTAATCGATGCAACAATGCATATAGCTGATCGGAAATGAAGTAAAGGAAATAAGGATACCAACAAATTAAGTTTGTTTTGTCTTTAAAAATCAACGGAAGCTGTATTCATTTGGGTTGAGTAAAAAACACCACAACATAAATACAGTGAGGTCTTGACGTTATATTGTAACTGATCATAAACAAAGTAGGCCTATGTTACTTTAATTTCAATTTTGAAACCTGTAAAATACTACCGACTTCACAGCTGGCTTACTATTGAATTACACCTGAGTAATATTTTACAATTATTATGATGAAGCTGAATCTTTTATGACTGGGAAATAGAGTACACCAAAAATATTAAAAACGTTTGTTGTATTCCACAAAATATATTACCTACAAACTTGCGAAAATTCTAAATATAACTGTAAACCTTCATACGAAGAAAACACTATAATATTACTGCAAAAAGATACCATAATGTACGACAAAAATCAACTCACGTTATTGAAGGCTTACTTCAAAATCAGTGGATATTGTTGTTGTTGTTGTTGTTGTTGTTTGTAATAAATGAAGATAAAACTAAACACGTGGGTAGTGATGTTACAGAAATCGGTATTTAACGGAGAGATTACGACACGTAAGGGAGAAGAGAGAAGGGTCCTCGAGTGAAGAGTCCACCCACTCACTGTGGACCATTGTGTCCTCATCGACAAGCTAGCCCCAGGGTAAGTGGTAGGCCTATAGTGTACGTACATATTCATCATACTGATCACACTACACTGTATACACACACACACATATATGTGTATATATGCATATGTATACATACATATATATATATATACTACTAACAAACACGTCGTGGCATCGATCATACAAATTTCAAATAAAAAGTTATTTTTTAATCTGATAGGCAAAAAAAATAACATATTAGGCCTAAATCCGTTAATATATAATCATTTACTGTAATTTAGTTAAGCATGTGTGACTAACAAAGTTATAACTAAAGGAAAACTTCTTTATTTACGACATTAACTGCCCTTCCACTAAGAGTTTCGGACTACTCACTCTGAAACCACCTGTAAAATATATTTTTGGCCAGGACTCATCATTTAGCAATTAATTGCTGGCTGGATCCTCCACTGTGTGAAAGTGTGTGTGTGTGTTTTTTTTTTGGGGGGGGGGGGGTTCAGGTGAGTCGGTGGCTCAGAGCAGAAGTAAGAGAGCAGTTTTAAGGGAACTTCTGGACTACGTATAACTCAACTGTTAGCAAAACCGCAACATAACTAAAGGCATGGTCCGCAATAAACATTTCAATTTGAACAAATAAAAACTGCAAATCATCCACTTGTGTCACATGTTTTGGATTACACGCTGTTTATTTCTTATGTTGAATGATGAAGAAACTGCTGGTAAAAGCTAGTTATATTTACAAGCACAGCCAAAGATAAATCTAATTCATAACGAGCAATATGAGTATTTTTTCGAAAACTAGGTTTTACTAAAATTGTTGTAAAAAGACGATCCATGATGAAAAAAAAACAACGAGCAAGAAGAAACTTCTTTTAGTAATATATAGCCACTAAAGAGCCACTTTATTAGACCCTATACTATTCTTAAGTGTTATCTTGGGGAAATAATCTTAAATGAAGTTGAGAAGTCGTGCGTAATGCTTTTACTTAGTTTTATATTGAAAGCAGAGCATGTGTGCCAAGATGTTTTGCTCAACCACCCACAACGTTCCCTTCCCAGCAAGCCACAGGTGTGTTTGTAATTCCATCGATTATCCGGTCACCCGCCAAAGCTTCACCTATACCCTCCATAAATCCCGTAGCAGTCCTAAATCACATAAATATAAATGCATGTTTTGCTTATAAAATATGTTTATTTAGGTTTTGTGAAAAATTTTGTTGACTCAGATTTGACAATACAGGGTAGAAAAAAGTACGACGCGGTTAAATATTTCAAAAAATAATGGAGAAACCTACTAAACTTAGCACACAGTTAACAGAAATTAAATATATTTAAATATAAAAAAGATTCGAAACCCTATAACCCCCTGTTCAGATGACGCGAACCAACTCATCTAAACTCATCTAAGTTCATGCAGCTAGTAACACAAGTAAAGAGCTACAAATAGTATGCAAAGTACAAAGTATGCATGAATGTATCACTTTATCAGTATGAACCAGGAGCACTTACCCTTTGTGTTGGTTTATGTTTAGGAGGTATGATAAGTAACACAAGTACAGAGTTACACAAGAAGAGTGCATGAATGTATCACTTTATCAGTATGAACCAGGAACACTTACCCTTTGTGTTGGTATATGTTAAGGAGGTATGAGAAGTGAACAAGTAACACAAGTACAGAGTTACACAAGAAGTGTGTGTGAATGTATCACTTTATCAGGATGTGATACAAATCCTTACCCTTTGTGTTGGTACATGTCGAGGAGGTATGTGAAATGATCTAGTAGCACAAGTACAGAATTACACATAAAGTGTGCGTGAATGTATCACTTTATCAGGATGTGGCACAAACACTTACCCTTCGTGATGATATCGTGCTACTACAATTACACAAAGTGGTAGGTAATGAAGATGTATTACTGACCCTACTTTCGTGACAAACCTTTGTGGGCCCCGTGAATCTCAATAACGACACTAATTTGCATAAGAAATTACTATTTTATTTGTTAAAAGAATATAAAATAAATACACTTTTGTACTATATGTGGTCCCTTCCTCTATAGTGCATGGAAATACTTAATAATGAATCATTCCTATTATAAACTAGCCGTACTAACTGTGCTTCGCAACGGAATAAAACACAGAATAGAACAACATAGTTCTTCTTAACTTAATTATTAGAAACTAAATTGTATGACAGTAAAAAAAATATGACAACAGTGTGACACTAGGAGTGCCAGGTACAGAATGACCGAGTCGATACATAGACTGTCCAACTATCGTGGTGTATCCTCGGTAATCAGTTGATAGACTCACAGACACCGTCTCTCTCTCTCTCCATCTGTATAGATACAGTCAAAGTATTTATGGACGAGTGACAAGTAGGGGCATGACACAACAGTGTGACACTAGGAGTGACACTAGGAGTGCCTGGTACAGAACGACTGAGTCGATACATAGACTGTCCAACTGTCGTGGTGTATCCTCGGTAATCAGTTGATAGACTCACAGACACTACATGTCTCTCTTTCTCTCTCTCTCTCTGTATAGATACAGTCAAAGTATTTGTGGACGAGTGACAAGTAGGGGCATGACACAACAGTGTGACACTAGGAGTGCCTGGTACAGAACGACTGAGTCGATATATAGACTGTCCAACTGTCGTGGTGTATCCTCGGTAATCAGTTGATAGACTCACAGACACTACATGTCTCTCTTTATCTCTCTCTCTCTGTATAGATACAGTCAAAGTATTTGTGGACGAGTGACGA